AACAGGTCGGTGGCAGAGCTGGGAATAGAGCCCAGTTCGCCTACTCCCATCTTCTAATCAATCAATAGACCATCATGGCACTGCATGACCACCCCTCCCAAGGTAATGTCTCTTCCACGTCCTTTCCCATGGGGAAGCAGACAGGGGTTCATGGGGAGACGGGAGGAAGAAGGAAATATATTTTCAGGCCTCCAAAGAAGTTGAGATTTGAGTTCTGGGAGAGGGTTGGGAGTTGGAGTCATTCTTTATACTAGCTGAAGTCATCTGCCCGACACGAAGTCGTCAGCCTACCCCCCACAGCCCTCCACTGCACACGGTAAGTCCTGTAAAAGCCTTTTAAGCTAAATCTCCCTTTCTTAGTGTCCGTGTCTTGCATCCCTTGCCCAAGCCAAGAAGCGGTTTCAGACCACACTTGCTCGAAGCACAGTCCAGCTTCTGATTTTGTAAATAAATTTCAAGCCACTGGGGACTGACCCAGCCTAGAAGACGGAGCTGTATGTCTGTCCATAGACAGGCAGCCTCTCTCACCACTGCCCCAGCCACCACTCAACGGACCTCACTGTAGCAAGACTGAGAGTAACAGTTATGTCTACTTCGTCTCTCTACTGAGACTGTCAGCCACTAGGACTTCTTTGCATCTATGCATTAAGCTCTAGACTGAAACTAGCAAGCCATGATTCAAACAAGTGGGATTTCCCCACCTAAAGTTAGATGTTAGAGTTGGACTCTTTCACTGCAGCAGATGGTAAATTCCTTCATTGCCAGAGGAAGTGCTTCAATATACTTCCGCAAATGAAGCGGAAGCGAGTGGGCCAGACACGGGAGGTCAGGAAACGTAGCTAGGTCGTACATCATAAACACGGGAAGCTTGATAGACCAAGTTCCCCGTTGGTGTAATTCCACGGGTGTCAACTGAGTTATACTAGGGACAAACTTGGCCTTTATGTCTCAGATAACTGGCAATGGGACATGGAGCCTTTTACCCACAGGAAGCTGGCTCAAAGCCAGGTCAAGTCAGCTCAGCTGGGACCAAAAGCTGTTACCATCAGACAGCTGTTTAGCGGTAGCCCATACGGGAAATGAGTTTGTTGGTCTCAGCCAATTGCTGGGGAGACTGAGCTGCCTCTATCATCAAACCACCAGCATGTTTGGCTCTCCTTGAGCCTCTTGTTGGCAGACTCACTAGATGGGGCCCAAACTGAATTGGGTCTGGACAATTAGCTGCCCATGGACCCCATGCACCCAGAGGCAGGGCATCAAAGTTAAACCCTATTAGCAGGACATTCTAGTCTAGGGAGGCTTGCCGGTGCTCTGCCTGTTCTGGGGCTAAATGCAGGAATCCAGCCTGCCTACCTGTCTGCTCAACACCTTGTTTTATACCTTGCTGGTCCTGGTCCTTAACAGGAGAGGATGGCCTTTTTGCTAAACCACAGCTGGAGAGCAGAGCTCTGTTCCTGGCTCCGCCAATAACTTCCTCTGTGATCTCAGCCCCCTCTCTGTGCCTCAGTTTCTTCATCTATAAAATGGAGCTAGTAATACCTTGGGCGTCTGTTTCTAGGGGTTTATTCATTTCATTTTTCAGGGCTTATTTTTAGTAATCTTTGAGTTTTATGTAGATGTCCAAAAATTGGTGCTTTTTGGAGCTCTCACTTTGAGCATACTGTAATGAGTAATGTAGATCATACACATTACTCATTACAGTAGTATATACTGTACAGCAGTGGTCTCCAACCTTTTTACACCCAAGATCACTTTTTGTATCTCAGGGCAACTCAGGATCTACACCACACCACTCACTCCATCTCCCCCCAGTTGCTCTCTCTCCCCCACCCTCACACACTTTCACCGGGTTGGGGTTCGGGTAGAGTGACCAGACAGCAACTGTGAAAAAATCGGGATGGGGGTGGGGGCGGGGGTAATAGGCACCTATATAAGGCAAAGCCCCAAATATTGGGACTGTCCCTATAAAATCGGGACACCTAGGTTTGGGGCGGGAGGGGGTTGCAGGCTCTGGGCTGGGGGTTCACAGTGTGAGCGGGGGCTCTGGGATGAGCCTGGGTCAGGGGGTTAGGGTGCAGGAGGGGGTGAGGGGTGCAAGCTCTAGGAGGGTGTTTGGGTGCAGGAAGGGTCAACAGGCTGGGGCAGAGAGTTGGAGTGCAGGAGGGGGTACAGGGTGCTGGCTCTGGGATGGGGGGGTCAGGGCTGGGGCAGGGGATTGGGGTGCAGGACGGGGTATGGGGTCCGGGGTCTGGGAAGGGGATCAGGACTGGGGTGCAGGAGGGGGTTCGGAGTGCAGAAGGGGGTATGGGGTGCTGGCTCTGGGATGGGGGGGTCAGGGCTGGGGCAGGGGATTGGGGTGCAGAAGGGGGTATGGGGTCCTGGCTCTGGGAGGGGGATCAGGACTGGGGTGCAGGAGGGGGTTCGGAGTGCAGAAGGGGGTATGGGGTGCTGGCTCTGGGAGGGGGATCAGGACTGGGGTGCAGGAAGGGGTTCGGAGTGCAGAAGGGGGTATGGGGTGCTGGCTCCAGGAGGGGGCTCAGGGATAAGAGTTGGAGTACAGCCTCCTGCCAGGCAGCACTTACCTCCGGTGGCTCCCGGTCGGCGACAGGCACAGCATGGCTAAGGCAGGTTCTCTGCCTACCCTGGCCCCACACCACTCCCGGAAGGGGCCAACACGTCCCTGCAACCCCTGGGGTGGGGAAGGCGGGGAGCACTTGGCTCCCCACACTGCCCCTCTCTGCAAGCACCGCCCCCGCAGCTCTCCCAGCAGTGGCCGCTTCCGGGAGCGGTGTGGGGCCGGGGTAGGCAGGGAGTCTGTCTTACTGCACTGCTGCCAGAGATCGCAATCAACTGGGAGATCATCTAGGATCGACCGGTTGGTGACCACGGCTGTACAGAATAATCTCGGTCATGTTCCCTAGTGCACTTGAACTGTTTCAAAGCGTACTACATTCAAGCACGCTAGGGAACCTTCAGCGTGCACCAGCAAGGTCTACATAGACCAGTTAGCATGCAACATGTTAATGTGCTTTAGAAATCACATCCTCATAGTCCACATTACTGCTCTGAGTGGACAAATCCTTAGATACAAGTACCCTTTTCCGGTGTTTTTCCAGTATTTATTGGATAAACACCGATTTTATATATATATATATTTTTAATAATGGGTGTTTTATTGGTGTTTATCAGTTAAAACTGAAAATCAGAAGCCTTATAATACCTCAATCTGCCTCAGGGTTGTGAGGGTACCTTCTTTGATATTTAGCACTTAGAGCTCCTCAGATGGAAGGCACTGCAGAAATCCAAAGCACCGTTATTCATTGGTGTTCTTTGTCCAGGGACATGGTTTAACAGGGTACACGCACATCTGTTCAAGCTGTACAGATGTTTCTGAAAGCATGGAAATCTGTTCCCCACCGCAGTGATCACAGAAGGGTCAAACTGCAGGATGGGAATGAAATAATAATAATAAAAATGACAACAAACATGGCCTTAATGTAAATTAGCTTGCAAAGCTTTACAGTCACTTCCCCGTTCAGACAGCTGCTAACAGGGATATTCCTGCCTCAGAGCTCTGTCGTCTTCGGCTGTTGAGTTTCTGTGCCAAGACAGAGATAAGCCCTGGAAGTCAGTGCCCCAAGATTGCTGATCTGAGCTGGATCATGAGGGAACCTTCTCTAAAAAAGACCAGCTGGACGCACTTTTCCTAGCGCATAGACCCCTAAGCATGCTCAAGAGAAAATCAGCTTATGGCTTTGCATTGCTGCAACCCCTCATTAATGAGCCCCCTTCCTAATCGGATTGGAGTTGTCCCATCACACATGCAAAGAGGACGAACAAACAGAGAAAGCAATCATAGGAAAAACAAAACAGAGGGCAGAAATCCTATTGCGTTTGCTCCACTCTAACACAAATAAAAAGCAAATAGCTGGCATTCTTTTTGCATGGCTGTTCCAGAACTATTTCTAATTAACTGGCATTCTCAAGGACGAGCCAGCTTCTGGGCTGAAATTCAGATTGCAGAGACCTTTTTTTGTTTTTTCACTGAGATTGTTACTCCTATTACTCCGTGTAACAACACTACTACTACTGAAAGCAATGGTTGGTAACGGTGATGCTACTGCTGAAAGGAGCCATATCAAGAGCAAAAACAACAGATAAAAGAAATCATCTCTTAGCATTCTGTAGTATCTGTCCTCCAGAAGGAGATGTGTAAACAGGAGTTCGTGAAATGCAGGTACCTGAGGTAGAGCAAGGCAGCTGTTTAACAGTTTAGGACTGGAAGTAAAGAAAAATACCAGGTACAATTGGAACTGTAGGGGAAATCAGGGAGGCTGAATGTAATGATCCATATTACAACTGGAGCAAGACCAATGTTCCTTCTCTTGCAGACAGTGCCTCGAGATCTTTAATGATCACAAACAGTCAGGGCTTGGGTTTCACATCCCATCTGAAAGACAACACTTTCAGCAGCATACAGCCCTCTTAGCAGCACACTGGGGCACTGGCTGTCTAGCGATGTCATCTCTTGAATCATTCGCACCACTTCCTGTATAGGCTGGGGTTTCCTTGCAGGTTTCCCATGCATGTGATGAACAGCCCCGACGCTGCTTACAAGATCAGACACAGTCACGACTGAATACATTAACCAAAGCTGAAGCGTAGCTCGTCGGAAATGCACGTTTGCTTCTTGCAAAAACCAGATCAGGTAACCATAATCGCTTTTTCTGATCTGATCAGTGGAATGAAAAGCCCCAACCCTTCCATTGCCGACACTGATGAGGAGCTGGGCCTGGTCTTAAACTTAGAATTTGTGTACACTAGAAATATAATGCAACCTATATTAGGTCGATTTACAGCAATTACTGCAGTAGTGCATGTCCACTGTACCCTCCTTGGGTAGACGTGCACTCCCGGACTAGATCCGGTTAGTTAGACCAGACACTCACCCATAGACAACGCAGCGAGGGATAGGGTGGGTCTGAGACAGGGTTACTTACCTCCCTTTGATCCATCGGATTCTGCAGCCTCGTTACCGGCAGTACCTGAAGGAGGCAGAAAAACACCTTTGCTTTATTGAGGGTGTGTGTGCGCATGTGAATATGTTTATATTCCAAATCTCCAGGGTCCTTAATCCAGCCCCCTCCCCTTCCTTCCTTCTCCTTTAGTAAATAAAGTGTTATTGTGAGTTCATATCCGTGTGGTGGTTTCTTTTATTCCAGCTCTGAGAGATGGGCTTAAGGGGGGACTCAGCGGGAAGTATACTGTAAGGCTCCCCAAAGTCTTCTGCTCAGATAGGCTCCCTAAAAAATCCTTACAAGAGGGGAAAGTATGGGGAGCTGATCACTTGATCATTACCTGTTAGGTTCACTCCCTCTGGGGCACCTGGCATTGGACACTGTCGGAAGACAGGATACTGGGCTGGATGGACCTTTGGTCTGACCCAATATGACCGTTCTTATGTTCTGAGAGCCCGGTCTCTCAGTTCTGCTGGCAGCTCCCTGGGGGGAGCCAGGCTGCCCCACAGGCTCCTGGTGGGCTGATCCTCGTTCCCCACCTAGGGCTTCTCCCTTCCCCGTTCCCAGACGGGAGCCAGGGGAAGTCGCCTGGGGCTTCTCACCCTTGGGAAGTGGGGTCCAGCTGCCTGGCTACTCAGCCCCTCCCCCCCGGAGCTGAGCACCCTTGTGAATTGTGACATAATTAGGTTGACATAAGCAGCCTTATGTTGACCTAAGTGTGCAATGTAGACCAGCCCTCAGACTGACTACTTGATTATACGCAGCCGACACCCACCAAGGGACAAACTTCCCAGCTGGTAGAACAAAGGAACTAGGTCCTCAAAGGTATTTAGGTGCCTCATGCCCAGTGATTTCAGTGGGAGTGAAGTACCTAAATGCCTTCGAGGATCAGGGCCTACGTTTTTCTCACAGGTAATGGAAAGCCAAAGCATAGCTTGTCGGACATGCACGTTTGCTTGTTGCAAAAAACCAGATCAGGTAACCATAATCTCAGTTTCTGATCTGATCAGTGGAATGTAAAGTTCCCCCCTTTCCGTTGCTGACACTGATGCGGTGCTGTGCCTTGTCTTAAGTTTAGGGTTTGTCTACACTAGAAATATCATGCGACCTATATTAGGTCAACTTACAGCCATTGCAGTAATTACTGCAGTGGTGCATGTCCACTCTACCCTCCTTGGGTCGGTGGTGCATGTCCTCACCCTGAGCTCTTCCCCCCATCTAAGAGTGTTAATTAAAGCCTTGGCAAATTCTTGGGAAGGCACACACCCAGCTGGATTTTAGGGCTTTGTTTCTTAGGTGGCCATCTTGGTCTGGATAAGAACAAGGTGACTTCTCCTCGTTCCCCTATTCTGGGCAAAAGGCGGGAAAGTGAAAAGAGCGGGAATCAGTTGTTGCCAAGTAACCGGTTTCTATACAAACAAATGAATGGAGGGGCCAGGGGCTCTTGAGCGCTGAAATCTTTGGGGCTCAGGTGTCTAAAAGCTCGCTCTCTCTGTGGGGTAGTACACCTTCCACATTGGTTACTGGCCTGCAGTAGCCACTCACTGAACTAAGTTGTCATCTTGGGGTTTATTAGTTATTTTCTTTTGGGGAGCAGACGTGCACTCTCGGACTAGATCCGGTTACTTAGACCTGACACTCACCCACAGACGACGCAGCGAGGGATAGGGTGGGTCTGCGACAGGGTGACTTACCTCCCTTTGATCCATCGGATTCTGCAGCCTCGTTACCGGCAGTACCTGAAGGAGGCAGAAAAACACCTTTGCTTTATTGAGGGTGTGTGTGCGCATGTGTATTGTTTATTCCCAATATGTTTATATTCCAAATCTCCAGGGTCCTTAATCCAGCCCCCTCCCCTTCCTTCCTTCTCCTTTAGTAAATAAAGTGTTATTGTGAGTTCATATCCGTGTGGTGGTTTCTTTTATTCCAGCTCTGAGAGATGGGCTTAAGGGGGGACTCAGCGGGAAGTATACTGTAAGGCTCGGGGGGGTGGAGAGAGGGGGGGGGTTTTTTTACTAGAGGGGGATTTTTTATTTAGAAAGGGGAGGTTGGGGGGGTGGGTATTTGAAAATTTTTTTTTATTAAGGGGGAAGGGGGGGTTTTTTTTGGTTTGGTAAGGGGGGTGATTAGGGGGTTTTGGGGGGGGGGGGTGGGGTCCCTTCCAACCTGATATTTATGATTTTTTCCCAAAGTCTTCTGCTCAGATAGGCTCCCTAAAAAATCCTTACAAGAGGGGAAGTATGGGGAGCTGATCACTTGATCATTACCTGTTAGGTTCACTCCCTCTGGGGCACCTGGCATTGGACACTGTCGGAAGACAGGATACTGGGCTGGATGGACCTTTGGTCTGACCCAATATGACCGTTCTTATGTTCTGAGAGCCCGGTCTCTCAGTTCTGCTGGCAGCTCCCTGGGGGGAGCCAGGCTGCCCCACAGGCTCCTGGTGGGCTGATCCTCGTTCCCCACCTAGGGCTTCTCCCTTCCCCGTTCCCAGACGGGAGCCAGGGGAAGTCGCCTGGGGCTTCTCACCCTTGGGAAGTGGGGTCCAGCTGCCTGGCTACTCAGCCCCTCCCCCCCGGAGCTGAGCACCCTTGTGAATTGTGACATAATTAGATTGACATAAGCAGCCTTATGTCGACCTAAGTGTGCAATGTAGACCAGCCCTCAGACTGACTACTTGATTATACGCAGCCGACACCCACCAAGGGACAAACTTCCCAGCTGGTAGAACAAAGGAACTAGGTCCTCAAAGGTATTTAGGTGCCTCATGCCCAGTGATTTCAGTGGGAGTGAAGTACCTAAATGCCTTCGAGGATCAGGGCCTACGTTTTTCTCACAGGTAATGGAAAGCCAAAGCATAGCTTGTCGGACATGCACGTTTGCTTGTTGCAAAAAACCAGATCAGGTAACCATAATCTCAGTTTCTGATCTGATCAGTGGAATGTAAAGTTCCCCCCTTTCCGTTGCTGACACTGATGCGGTGCTGTGCCTTGTCTTAAGTTTAGGGTTTGTCTACACTAGAAATATCATGCGACCTATATTAGGTCAACTTACAGCCATTGCAGTAATTACTGCAGTGGTGCATGTCCACTCTACCCTCCTTGGGTCGGTGGTGCATGTCCTCACCCTGAGCTCTTCCCCCCATCTAAGAGTGTTAATTAAAGCCTTGGCAAATTCTTGGGAAGGCACACACCCAGCTGGATTTTAGGGCTTTGTTTCTTAGGTGGCCATCTTGGTCTGGATAAGAACAAGGTGACTTCTCCTCGTTCCCCTATTCTGGGCAAAAGGCGGGAAAGTGAAAAGAGCGGGAATCAGTTGTTGCCAAGTAACCAGTTTCTATACAAACAAATGAATGGAGGGGCCAGGGGCTCTTGAGCGCTGAAATCTTTGGGGCTCAGGTGTCTAAAAGCTCGCTCTCTCTGTGGGGTAGTACACCTTCCACATTGGTTACTGGCCTGCAGTAGCCACTCACTGAACTAAGTTGTCATCTTGGGGTTTATTAGTTATTTTCTTTTGGGGAGCAGACGTGCACTCTCGGACTAGATCCGGTTACTTAGACCTGACACTCACCCACAGACGACGCAGCGAGGGATAGGGTGGGTCTGCGACAGGGTGACTTACCTCCCTTTGATCCATCGGATTCTGCAGCCTCGTTACCGGCAGTACCTGAAGGAGGCAGAAAAACACCTTTGCTTTATTGAGGGTGTGTGTGCGCATGTGAATATGTTTATATTCCAAATCTCCAGGGTCCTTAATCCAGCCCCCTCCCCTTCCTTCCTTCTCCTTTAGTAAATAAAGTGTTATTGTGAGTTCATATCCGTGTGGTGGTTTCTTTTATTCCAGCTCTGAGAGATGGGCTTAAGGGGGACTCAGCGGGAAGTATACTGTAAGGCTCAAAAATGATTAGGGGACTGGAACACATGAGTTATGAGGAGAGGCTGAGGGAGCTGGGATTGTTTAGCCTGCAGAAGAGAAGAATGAGGGGGGATTTGATAGCTGCTTTCAACTACCTGAAAGGGGGTTCCAAAGAGGATGGCTCTAGACTGTTCTCAATGGTAGCAGATGACAGAACGAGGAGTAATGGTCTCAGGTTGCAGTGGGGGAGGTTTAGATTGGATATTAGGAAAAACTTTTTCACTAAGAGGGTGGTGAAACACTGGAATGCGTTACCTAGGGAGGTGGTAGAATCTCCTTCCTTAGAGGTTTTTAAGGTCAGGCTTGACAAAGCCCTGGCTGGGATGATTTAACTGGGAATTGGTCCTGCTTTGAGCAGGGGGTTGGACTAGATGACCTTCTGGGGTCCCTTCCAACCCTGATATTCTATGATTCTATGATTCCCCAAAGTCTTCTGCTCAGATAGGCTCCCTAAAAAATCCTTACAAGAGGGGAAGTATGGGGAGCTGATCACTTGATCATTACCTGTTAGGTTCACTCCCTCTGGGGCACCTGGCATTGGACACTGTCGGAAGACAGGATACTGGGCTGGATGGACCTTTGGTCTGACCCAATATGACCGTTCTTATGTTCTGAGAGCCCGGTCTCTCAGTTCTGCTGGCAGCTCCCTGGGGGGAGCCAGGCTGCCCCACAGGCTCCTGGTGGGCTGATCCTCGTTCCCCACCTAGGGCTTCTCCCTTCCCCGTTCCCAGACGGGAGCTAGGGGAAGTCGCCTGGGGCTTCTCACCCTTGGGAAGTGGGGTCCAGCTGCCTGGCTACTCAGCCCCTCCCCCCCGGAGCTGAGCACCCTTGTGAATTGTGACATAATTAGATTAAGTGTGCAATGTAGACCAGCCCTCAGACTGACTACTTGATTATACGCAGCCGACACCCACCAAGGGACAAACTTCCCAGCTGGTAGAACAAAGGAACTAGGTCCTCAAAGGTATTTAGGTGCCTCATGCCCAGTGATTTCAGTGGGAGTGAAGTACCTAAATGCCTTCGAGGATCAGGGCCTACGTTTTTCTCACAGGTAATGGAAAGCCAAAGCATAGCTTGTCGGACATGCACGTTTGCTTGTTGCAAAAAACCAGATCAGGTAACCATAATCTCGGTTTCTGATCTGATCAGTGGAATGAAAAGTTCCCCCCTTTCCGTTGCTGACACTGATGCGGTGCTGTGCCTTGTCTTAAGTTTAGGGTTTGTCTACACTAGAAATATCATGCGACCTATATTAGGTCAACTTACAGCCATTGCAGTAATTACTGCAGTGGTGCATGTCCACTCTACCCTCCTTGGGTCGGTGGTGCATGTCCTCACTAGGAGCTCTTCCCCCCATCTAAGAGTGTTAATTAAAGCCTTGGCAAATTCTTGGGAAGGCACACACCCAGCTGGATTTTAGGGCTTTGTTTCTTTGGTGGCCATCTTGGTCTGGATAAGAACAAGGTGACTTCTTCTCGTTCCCCTATTCTGGGCAAAAGGCGGGAAAGTGAAAAGAGCGGGAATCAGTTGTTGCCAAGTAACCGGTTTCTATACAAACAAATGAATGGAGGGGCCAGGGGCTCTTGAGCGCTGAAATCTTTGGGGCTCAGGTGTCTAAAAGCTCGCTCTCTCTGTGGGGTAGTACACCTTCCACATTGGTTACTGGCCTGCAGTAGCCACTCACTGAACGAAGTTGTCATCTTGGGGTTTATTAGTTATTTTCTTTTGGGGAGCAGACGTGCACTCTCGGACTAGATCCGGTTACTTAGACCTGACACTCACCCACAGACGACGCAGCGAGGGATAGGGTGGGTCTGAGACAGGGTTACTTACCTCCCTTTGATCCATCGGATTCTGCAGCCTCGTTACCGGCAGTACCTGAAGGAGGCAGAAAAACACCTTTGCTTTATTGAGGGTGTGTGCGCGCATGTGAATATGTTTATATTCCAAATCTCCAGGGTCCTTAATCCAGCCCCCTCCCCTTCCTTCCTTCTCCTTTAGTAAATAAAGTGTTATTGTGAGTTCATATCCGTGTGGTGGTTTCTTTTATTCCAGCTCTGAGAGATGGGCTTAAGGGGGGACTCAGCGGGAAGTATACTGTAAGGCTCCCCAAAGTCTTCTGCTCAGATAGGCTCCCTAAAAAATCCTTACAAGAGGGGAAGTATGGGGAGCTGATCACTTGATCACTACCTGTTAGGTTCACTCCCTCTGGGGCACCTGGCATAGGTCACTGTCAGAAGACAGGATACTGGGCTGGATGGACCTTTGGTCTGATCCAATATGACTGTTCTTATGTTCTGAGAGCCCGGTCTCTCAGCTCTGCTGGCAGCTCCCTGGGGGGAGCCAGGCTGCCCCACAGGCTCCTGATGGGCTGATCCTCGTTCCTCACCTAGGGCTTCTCCCTTCCCCATTCCCAGACAGGAGCCAGGGGAAGTCGCCTGGGGCTTCTCACCCTTGGGAAGTGGGGTCCAGCTGCCTGGCTACTCAGCCCCTCCCCCCCGGAGCTGAGCACCCTTGTGAATTGTGACATAATTAGATTGACATAAGCAGCCTTATGTTGACCTAAGTGTGCAATGTAGACCAGCCCTCAGACTAACTACTTGATTATACGCAGCCGTCACCCACCAAGGGACAAACTTCCCAGCTGGTAGAACAAAGGAACTAGGGCCTAGGTCCTTAAAGTATTTAGGTGTCTCATGCCCAGTGATTTCCGTGGGAGTTAAGTACCTAAATGCCTTCGAGGATCAGGGCCTACTTTTTCTCACCGGTAATGTAAACTATTCTCTTTCCTACATGCATTTCTTCCCACAATGCTGGGCCCCAGCCCCACACACACAGTGACAACGGTGTAGCATTTTTTGGCAGTTGAGAGAGAATCCCCTACGGACAGTGACAGTCCCCTACGGACAGCTTCTCCAATTGCTCCACCTAAGGTCAGGATTGACCGCAAGTGCAGCAGCATCCCGGGCAGTGACAAGAATGATGGTACATCTTCCACCAACCCATGTACCCGACTCCCTCCCAACCAACCTCCCATTCCTCTCCCTGGGCCACCTCCTCCTCCAAAAGGACAGCTCCGTTTCCGCTGAGTTGTCCCATTGTTCGTGTGCCTTGGTCAAACCAGTGCTTCAGAGGAAACACCACAGCAACCATCATGCAAGGGATTCTGGGAGGAAGCTAAGCCCAAGAGCAGCCTGTCATACAACAGCATGCAGCAACCGGGAGAACACCTATTTTGGAGGGGGAGACCAAGCGGGCAGAAGCTCGACAGCCAGAGAAGAGCCATTCATTCAGGGCTGGTTCCTCGGATGTGGTGCTCTACATGATCACCTACATAGCCCATACCTAAGGCCTCTCCTCCTAAGCTACAAGCAAGCAAGCCTGATCCTTAGGTCCGTGTCCCCCACAGAAGGGACCTTGATGTGCGATGGGACACTGAAGGCCAAATCTTGAACCCCTTACTCAGGCAACACTCCCATTGGGAAGGCAACCATCTGGGAAGCTTCCTAATGGTAGCTTTGCCTGAGTACGAAACTGAGTAAGGCCTGCAGGAGTTGGCCTGTGAACGAACCAGAAGTGGGTGCTATAGCAACGTCAAGATCGGCTAGCACAAATAGGCAGGACTTGAGCTGCTGGGCCAACATGCAATGACTTTGATAAGGAGTTGACATGACTGTGCATAGGCAGAAGGCCAGGATCCTGTGCTGATGCAAACGCTAGAATATCTTTCAGCACTGGCGAGGCTGTAGGACCCCAATCCAGTAATTACTGGTGGGGGGAAGAAGTACACAATTGTGTTGGAGGAGAAGACTGCTTTGAGCAGTTGACTGCATAATGAAGACGTTTCCTTTGAAAGGTGCCTCCCATGGCAAGGCGCCCAAGATAGATACATGGGCAGGGATGTGTCACTTGTTGAGACAGGCTACTTAATGATCCCAGAGTGTTGCGTTAAGCGGCAGCATGTGAGATGTCAGGCTGCAAGGGAGAACATTCTTCTGCTGCGCTGGAGGTGGGGGATGCATCCAAACAGGGCTGGGTGGGGAGAGCTGGTCTCAGACAGGTCTTGAGGGCTTGCGGTTTGTTTTGCTCTGTTCCTTTAGAGACAGTGTGAAATGGGCTTGTGGCCTTCATTACTGTATAGAGCCACACAAAGGGCTGGCAGTGCACAGGCTGCCTGGGGCATGCCAGGCTTGCCTTCAGGGAATACACGACAGTAGAGGCTTGCCAGGCCAGGCCTAGTGTCATAAGAGCCAGGATGGCAGGATTACACTAGGCTAGCCCTGCTGGTGAGCAGCATGCTCTTGACATGAGACGCAGACCAGACCAGGACAGGTACATTGAGAAACATTTCAGCACAGATCAAAAGACCCCAGGCTGGTTGCACCTGGAAACTACAATGCAGGACAACTGTCAACTGCTGACCTGCCCTTTCTCTGTAATCAAGCATTTAATGTGCACACCACTGCCCTCTACTGAATGGACTTGGGATTACTCAGCTGTGCATCCTAGGTCCTATATTGTTAACAGCTGATGAAGATTCCCCTTTAGGTCAAGTGATAGAGCCTGAGCTTTATGGAGCTCAGCAATATCTGAGTTTTATTCCTGCTGCTATTTAAAGTTCCTAAGTGGTCACAATGATTGTTACATTTTAAATCAATATAGCTGAAGGTCACATCCCCTTTTAGCTACCTGCCAAGACCTGAGTTCAGGGTTCTCCATTTGCCCTTTGGCAGCAGACAATGTGGCAGGCACTGTGGGCAGAACACCCTTCAGGCTGCTCAGACTTTTGTGATGTCATCTATCTGCTGGGGAAAACACAGAATCCCGAATGTGGGTCCTAGCAGGAAAGAGGATTTTAAATGTATTGTAACCAATCCATGACCAGTTAGGACTACCTGGCATCATGCAATGGTGCACAGGATGGGAAGTTGGGTTTTCATGGCAACCATAGGACTGAGCTTGGATCCTCCTCCTACACAGCACTGGTAATCTAAGGTAGACATAGGAAAAACTCCTTCTCTCTTCTTTAAGCATCATTCCATCCACACGTGAGACCAACTACAGATCCAGGGCATTTGGAACACTGAAGTGCTGAAGTGACGAGCATTAAAAAACCCTAAAACTTTCCCTAGCTTCATTGGGAGTAAACGGTCTACATTCTTCAGATTCCAGGGGCAGGAAAATGCTCCCTAGTCACAGAGACTCGGGGTTTGGACTCTGTTGATATTGTACCAAATCTGTGGTCACGTCATAGCTGTCACTGTTGCAATGTCCCATCCACATATCAAACTATCAGGAGTATGCTAGGCGGATAGGATATGACAAGATCGCTTTGTTATGGGAAGAGAAGGGAGAGGCCTTTATGGAAGGTCAGATTCTGACGCCCTTTACTACTAGCTCACCAGCAAGAGGAAGGGCTTCATGGTCTGGCTAATAAAATTTCGTTAATAGGGAAACTAATAGGATTATATAGCCATTTCATTGGATTCTATAGAAATTACTTCAACCACCCCATCGAATTGAATAGAGGAGATCTCTCTATAGGGCTTTTTGAACCATCCTATAGAATTCCAAAGCAGGGATATAGTATTCTACTATGTTCTACAGAACAATTTTTAAAAAGTCTATTTTTTATTAGATTCCGCAGACTTTTCAATAAAGGAAGGGCCATCATTGGTTCAAATGGTGCAGGCATCTCTCTCACACTGGCTGCCTTTTTTTTTTCCTGGAACTGTGACTAGACAGCAGTCCCGGGAACCACTAAAAGTATTCTCCTGTCAGAAGCTGTCACACAGGTGGGCAGAAGACTATAAGTCAGGGGTTCTCAAACTGGAGGTCGGGACCCCGCAAGGCGTCACAAGGCTATTACATGGGGGGGGGGGAGGTCGCAAGCTGTCAGCCTCCACCCCAAACCCCACTTTGCCTCCAGCATTTATAATGGTGTTAAATATATAAAAACGTGTTTTTAATTTATAAGGGGGGTTGCACTCAGAGGCTTGCTATGTGAAAGGGGTCACCAGTAAAAAAGTTAGAGAACCACTGGTATAAGTAATACTTTTCACACACACACAGCACTTTCTGCCTTTGTTTGCTGCCAGTAACATTCATTAGTCACCGCAGTGTGGGCTCACGTTAATTCCTGTATATACAGGAAATTACGGAATGTGCAGAAGAGAGCATTCGGAACAATAATTCGGGTCACCAAACAGGGTGAGATTCCTTCTTTCACAGCTCACACAAAACACAAGGCCAGGTTCTGTCCCTCCCATGTTTTGTTGCAGTCCTATGTAGCTTGAGTCACTCCACACCTTGAGCACCACGCATGTGCAGCCCAGCACAAATAACTGAAGCCCCTTTCATCAGACGCTCCCAACACACTTTACCAAAGTTAACAGAGCCTCACAGCACCCCGAAGTAGTAGTTAAGTATTATTCTTACCCCAGTTTTACTGATGGGGAAACCAAGGGACAGAGAGGTTAAGTGATTTGAGTCCTGACTCCACACTGCGCTACTCTAGCCGCTAGACATGCTCTCAGGCAGGAACAATTTAAGTGAATGTACTTGCCAAACTGGGCTTTGGCTAGGATGCCATGCCTGCTCCGCGGGACCGCAAGTAAGCAGACCTCTGTTTTATATTGGAAGATACAGCACCGCCAGCAGGGTGGCCCCAACTCATGCTGTGGCCCAGGTTCAGGAACGAGCAGAATGCACCGTTACAGAACTGCCAGCATGGCCGTGATCCCTCACACCACATCAGAGCACGCACTTAATACGGCCCCAGAGGGAAGCGTGGCATCTGCTGAATACTCAGCATCGCTTCCTGCGGCAGCTGTGCTTTTCGAGGGAGGACTCCCGCCTGAGTCCGATTCTCTGCTGCC